GATGTATACTTTGGTTCCGCGATATTTTATACTCAGAAAAGCCGTGCATCATTAGTTTGTATCCAGCCTTTCACGTGTTATCCAATCTAGATTCTCATTGGTCAAGGCTGCAATAATTACACTATGTTTGTGATAGTTTGTTCGAATTTGAAAAAACTACTGAATATTTGTTTGTTAATTCAGGTTCAAATTGCTATTTACTACTTGTTAAAACTGCTCTCTTCATTGCTGAGTTATATCAGCTGACATGCTGCATGCTTAGTAACAACATTACCATTGGTAGTTGGTATATGGTTCAAACGTGAACTCAAGTTTTGTATATTGTTGATTATTTAACCATGAGCTTTGTTTTGTTGAAACCTGAATGAACTGTTGGTGGATGACACTATATGTCTTAAAGTATTTAATATTTTACATTATTTCGCACACCATGAATGTGAGGTTGTCGTTGGGGATATCCTTTTTAGTACAGGTGGTTACACTGCATTTAACATCCATACCAGCTTTGAAGTTCATCCATGAATTAGATAATATACAGTATAAATCATCTGACATGATTTTACCAAAATCTTGTTTGTGTTCCAACATTCATCAACCGTATACAAAAAGTTTTTTTTATAAACTAATATGTTATTCTGAATTTGGTAAAGCTTAAGTCAGGAAGCTTATCAATGTTCATTCCAAGGTAGTAGGATCAAATAAGATTCATTTGATCCATTGTAGTATTTGACAATAATCTTTTACATGACTGATTTGCAATGAACACAACAGCCAGGTGTTTACTATTTATGCCATTACCCGTTTGTCTAATTGAGTGGAAATGACTGTATAAGTCAACGTTTGCCTAAGTTTGTTAACTAAACCTATGAAAATAAATATACCTATACTGTTACATATGAATCTATTGTTATTTTACTACGTTCAGCGTACTTACATCACACAAAGCCTACTTTAGAGTAGACACCGTTTATGCTAAAGTTGATTGAAATTGGTGGCAAATAGGCATCTGTATGTCATCGCCGACAGTCGTCGTCCCTCCAGAATCAAGTTGAAACCCAAAATTTGTCCCTCAAAATGCAGGAAATAGTGTTTCAGCGGGTCTAGATTTACAATTTTTTAAGGGGGAACATGCCCCCGCCCCCTCTAGAAAGGTCGCGCCTTCGGCGCAAGGTTGGTCTCGCCCCTATGCATAATTTGGTGCCACCGCCTCTGAATCAGACACCATGATAAATTGGATTTCAAGAGTTTCCTTTGATTCCTTTGAATGTCGGCAATTTGTATTTTTCCCTCTCTACCAAATCGAACGTTTTTAATGTTCACGCACCTGCCATCCGTTTGTTTTCATTGTTTTTACGAGCGTAGTTACAGATACGCCGCCTATTATAGCATTGTACTGTAAGCGTGCTTGGTTGGGTTATTTCGGTTCAGTGAGCGTAATTTTAGTGACGTGGTTTTTTCATATTTGTTGCCATGTTGACTGTAGTTTGAAAAGTTCGATGAAAGAATGACTAGTTTTGTGGCAGCCGAACCATTCATCGGGCCTGGCATTTGCTCAAACGCGTAGCGTCAACGGCCCGTTGACGGTTTCTGTATTGTCCCTTTTTTTCTCGGGTCACGTTTCATATAAAGCAAAAAATGTTCATAGGACTGATATATTGGTTGCAGTCGACCAACGATTTTAACCCACAACCTTGGCGCGAGGTAACCACACTATATAACCACGTTATATTGGTATGCAGTCTGGACATACTATATACTCTGAATATAGCTTTCTATATTTTCCCAGTTACCGTATGTGTATATCATTTCTGAACCCTCCCTTCCTTTTAGACTACTACACCACTCTTATGTAATATGGCCCACTCTAGTATCACATATCAGGCGTTGAATTGAGAAATAACACACATCATACACAACAACACGTAACGAATGAAATATAATGTTTAATGTGCTGTAAACATAAATTGCAATAACGTGAATTGGTATAAAGCAAGAAAAGTTGTTAAAATACATCATAATTATAACTGAAGAGAACAAAAGGTAATACAATTAGAAGCCCACCCGGGATGCGTAGATGTTCGCCATTAAACCTTAAATACCACGTGTAGAATAGCAAACATACAATGTAGCCCACGAATACTTTATCTGCACTATTTAATTATAGAAACTTAAACCAACTATTCATAGAGGTTTACACCAATTTACAATCCATGGTTGGGAGCACTCAGTCTAACTCGGGTAATGCAACCTTGAAAGAAGAGACGTGTAATTAGGGGTAAATATTTTGGTCGGACACGTTATGCGTTTAGGATTATAAATTGCCGTCTTCAAATATGCAGCATGCTCGCTTGGAAGCTTCCGTCAGCACATTTCATCAAGTTAGTAAAATGGTAAATTGGGTATTTTTACATTCATTTGAACCAATTTGTCTAGAATATAATTTCTTTAAAAAATGCACCCATTGCTCCCAGGTTCTCGGCTTGCGTTGCTGTAACATTCAAAACATCCGTTGAGCTGTTCACTTCGAGGCCAAGGCATATGACAAAAAAGTCCGAGGTAAAGAATTTATATTTCGAGGAAACGCCGTTAATGCCAAATCCGCATGCAGTACATCCAGTACGCCATAATAATACAACCAATAACGTCTTCACTTTATAATCTCAGTCGTCATTTATTTTTCAGCCCGCACTAAAAATAATATGAAAAAACATTATCTTAAAACATTATCTTAAAATAAAGTACATAGTATATAAATGTATATACAAAATGGTTAGCGTTGCGCTGGCATATACATTGTACCCAGGCTACAATAAACCCACAACTTCAACATAAGACCGATCATCATTGATTTGTTCGTCAAGTAATTTAAATTGAAGGTTCGTGCCACGCAAAGATCGACCCGCTTTCGAAAGAAGCAGTAACACGATAATGTTCGCCGCTCTCAATTAAGGGTAGTGCTTACACAATATTGCAGGAAAAAAAGATCATAATGAAAAACACAAAAGATTCAACATTAATTTTCACAGTTGCCTGGATACCGCATACCTGTGCACATGGCTATTAGGGGTGATATTGAGACGGGGGGGGGTGTGTCACTCGCATCATTTCCCTGGAAGGACGGTTGTCATGGTTAGGGCGGGGATCCCAGAGCCCCCGTTTAATGTACTTATTTCCAATTTAAGCCTGAAGGACCAAAATGGCTATTCACTGTGAAAGAATAACGTTATAATAGAATATTTGTTGATGTTTTTTAATAATATTTATCGTTTTGATGACATAAACGTACAACACACAACAATTCCATTACATTGTGGCATATGAAGAGGAAAGGGAAAGAACAATAAGAAAAAATAAATAAATTCATATTTGATCTGGCACAACATATAATTTCCATTTATCCAATGTCTAGAAAATGTTTTACTGGTTCCGATTCCTGGTTATGGATGAGCTCTATGTTTTTGTTTTAGTTCAATATTTCTATTTTCCCTGGCCCTACTTTTATATGCCTATTTTGATGAACCTTTTGAAACCTTCAGCTGCATTTGTTTCTTTCGAATAGTAAAATAAAATGATTTAGTAATATAATTTCAGGTTCACATAGACTAATAATAGTTTTCACATTATAAACAATATAAGTGAGCAGTCGCGTTGCAACTGTCTCCACAGTTCCTTTACAACAAATCTTTATGTTCACAGAAAGAATAGAGGGGGGTTGATTATTTTCCATATATACAGTTTTATATTAGTTGTTAGAACTTTATGTAGAATTTTGTATTGGAATGCTCTAATATCTGTGGAGATTGTTGTCTTAAAAAGTGGTTTGAAATTTAAATTACAACCATTTTGTTATAGCCCATATGATTGTTTTAGGTCTTTGGAAACGGTTGAATTCAAAAATGTTTTCACACAAAGATTTATACACCTTTTTTGCATGTCGGTGTATTAATTGCAACGTACTTAGAATTCCATTTGACTTTGTTTTGAAAATCAGACCACTCATGGTCGATAACATGAATGTTCTCTCACCAGTCATCAGGCATTGCAGAGCTTAGGCTTTGTATAGTTTGGTATGGTATTCTGACATAGTGATCACTTTTCCCCTTCAATTATTGCTAGTGGTGAGATTTTCCATGGAAATCGATACAATCTATCATTTTTAGTTTTTTTTTTCTTGCCAAACTTTTCAGATAGATTGTAGGATAACAAATATTTTCAAATTTATTGTTCTATAAATATTTGATTATCAATTTCAGATGTTGTTTTTAGAGTATATTATGTCAAAGATGACTATTTCCGGATAATATCAAAGTAAAAGGGTCGAATTTGATTTTCAAATTGGGATTCGTCGTAGTTGCACCAAAACATATTGCCCAAACTTGTTCAATAGTCCTTTTAATATATCCTTCCATCCGGCTTGACTTTCAGAAACAAACCGTTTAACCCACAAAGTCTGCTGTGATTTAAAAAAAAAGAGTCCATCCCGATTACATTTAACTCACCCCTTTCAATATCTGAAAAATATAGATCTTTCTTTTAATCTTATCCTTTTCATTCCAAATAAATTTGTGAATAATAATATAGATTTTTTGGTAATTGATTTTGGCACTGTAATATTTGATGCTAAATATATGAATTGGGAAATGCCAAATGCTTTAAGGATCTGTATTTTTCCATTTATTGAACGTTTTCTCCTAGACCAAAATGTGTATAGTGACTTTAAATTATTAATTTTCTTTTCAAAATTCTCTTTAATATACATGTTATATGCATAGGTAAACAAATCCTAAAATTATTATTCCATTCGACCATTTAATATTTACTTTCTCTTTTGGTCTGTGACCATACCCAAATAAAAATGCCTCAATTTTATCCTAATTTAGATTTAATTCTGAACATTTTCAAAATTTTTAACTGCATGAAAAGCGGTATCATTGCAGTGGGCTTGATCGTACATGTTATGTCGTCTACATACATTACTAACTTAATAATGTTTTATAAACATGCCAACACCTTGTATAGTTTGATTACTAGGTTACTCGATCAGTGCCCATTCGGACTGGGCTACTGGGTGTACATGCATACACATGGCTATTGAGTAGACATGCTTACTAGGCTGATGAGTGATCATCCCTAGTACTTTACTGAGTGCAAATGCCTAATTGTCCACTGAGTGTACATGCTTACACACTAGGCCATTGAGTGTCCATTCCTACTGGGCTACTGAGTGCATGTTCAGACACAAGACTATTCAGCGAACATGCTTACTAGGTCACTGAGTTTCCATGCCTACTAGGTTACTGAGATTAGGATTAGTTGGTCAATTGTTCTTAATATATAATCAATTTATAAGGATATTAGGGGGGGCAATCACCAAATAAACAAAACTTTAACGTATACAGAGTCTGTGGCAGATGCAGATCAGGATATGCTCACTTTTTGAAGAAAAAAAATGGCATTACATTATATAATATATATTATACAATTCTCTTCCTGATTTGACTATACAGTTGTTTTGTTTTGGGTTGTTACCGGGCATTGTTTTATCAATTGTTGCACGTTTTGTGTTCTTGTACTTTTAAATATTTCTATGTGACCTTTGTATTAAGAACTAGTGATGGTGATGTTAGTTTAACTACATACCTGTGCTATAAGCAGTGCGAACAACTGACACTGATTTTACGCATCTGCTGTTAGCGATTTCATTTCCCCAACAACCACTGTCGAATTCTTTTCTCTCCCACATACCACACGTCGAACCAATGCCAATTACATTTCCTTCACTTGTCACTGTTATACCAGAAACATTACCAGAGTTATCCACCTTTGTCCAGCTGCCTTCAACGCCTGGTCGTGTCCATAGTTTCCCATTCATACCAACTCCAAGAATGTCACCTGACGGCAACTGAGAGATGGATTTAACACAGCAGCTATTTGCAACTGGTCCAGACCATTTACCATCAATACCAGGTCGAGTCCATAAATTATTTCCAGTGCCAATCCCAAGTAGCGAACCATCATTTAGGTATGTAATATCAGTTACACAACAGCTGTTTGCAATGGGTCCACTCCATTTACCATCTTTACCAGGTCTAGTCCAGAGTTGCTGATCTGTTCCAATACCAACAATTGTACCATCAGGAAAAGTTGTCATGGATGTTATACAGCAACTATCTGCTATTGGTCCCTCCCATGAAGCACTGATATCCTTACGACTCCATAAGTTATTACCAGTTCCAATACCATAGAAGCCATGTTGTGTTTCATCAGATGAAGTATCTGAGCTGGATGGAATTTCTCCACCTGTAAAGTGAATGCAGTAACATCTGAGGTAGTTTCATTTGTGATATATAAAATTCAGGTTTGTTTCATTTTTCGTCTCCCATATATAGACGTTGCTTGGCCAACACTTGAGATTACTGTGTGTGCATCACCAGACGTGGATCGTATTAACATATTCTCAAACTGACGGGAATTTTGCAAACAACTGGAAATAGTTGTTACTCATAAAATTTCATAAATACTAAAACTGTAATTGGTTTTATGTAGCGATGCCACTACATGCGTATAATTTACATTCTTCACGAGACTGTTCAATATGAACTGACTGTATGGTTTTGCAGTTGGTCAGAGAAGCTCGACCTAATTTGTTTAAATATTTATCTAATTGTTGTCTGACCAAGAAAATGCATTCATATTTTGATGCTTTAAATGTCATCAGTGTGTAGACAAATATTTCAACAAGATTGTCTTTATATAAAAAAATGTAAACCACGTGTGTCCACGATAGCTGTTTTACCATGTTTGGACTTCATAGTAAACAACTCACAGTGTTATACATTGAAACATACAAATACTTGTTTAACATGCGTTTGAGTTGTTTATATATGTGAACTAGGTGAAAGGAGACGTGATTTGCAAATGATATTTTCAGTGAAGTTGACACATGTTTGTGGTGAGCAGTATCATGATTTGTTGTCAGCCAAAGAAATTGTGGTCATAATTATAATATTGTATGGCGTAGAGTGGACGGTGCAAGATGTAGTATGCGCTGTCACGTTGTCCCTGTGTTCAGATATTAATATTTGGACTTGATGTTAACCCAATACACTGTGCAATGAGTGCCGAGAAAATGTGCACATGCCCGCACTAGGCTACTGAGTACATATGCATACTAAGTCCCCAGTAGCCGCTTTGCCATATTTTATTCCTGTGAAAAAACATCCTAAACATCACACTTAATAGCCATTCTTGTCCGATTGGTGTCTACTTCGGATGGCTCAAGGTCTTTCAAAGATTTTTACCAAAGTGGCCAGGACAGTGGCAGTGCAGTAAACGACAATTTGTTATACATAGTAGTTTCGGTGACATCATCTATGTTTTATATCATGTAACACTCTGATCGTTTGACAATCGTTTATGTGTATCAACACTAATGTGTCTATCAGTTAAAAAATATGAGCTTTTTTACCTGCATATAAACAAACAAAACTCTAAACTAATTGATGCCCGCAAATTACACTACAAATCCAAACAGGTGTCACTTGTCCAGTAGTAACTCAAGCAATGCAATAATATATATATATTACCTCTCACTACTCATAATGGTATAAATATTATTGCAATTTATAAAAACAAAAAACATGAACGTTTTATGGCGACCCACTTGCACCATTCAAATTTGAGTTCTGCACTTCGTACTGTATGTTGGCACACCATGTTATATGATGAACTCCCCTGAGAGGTTGCTTCATCTTAGCATTGAATTAAATAGACACATAGATGTCATTGCTCTTATTTAACATAAAACTACTGCACATAATAGAGGAGGTAGAACACGCATTTGGGCTAATTTTCAGTTCCATGTACTAAGATTACAATTACAATTCCCTAAGCCAATAATCTTTTGAACTTCTTCAAATACGGGTTTTGTATATTGTGGGAAGGTGTGTTAGAAAAATCCATGAATTGAACCTACACAATGAAATTGTGCGTTGAATGGTTGGATATGGTGTGTTGAGTCAGATACACTACTGCCTCGTGTGTAAGATTAAAGATGCAGATGACGGTGGCAGCGATAATTTTGGAGTTAAATATCCCACAATTCGTTAGATTGGTTTTCAAAACTATATAATGTCATACAAATGTTCGCGCCATAACTAATATTTTTTTAAATCGCCAGAAACGTGAACCACGTTCGTCTGAAATTTGGTGTGTGGCTCGTGGTTTGGTCGACATTGAATTTAAGTACCTCTCGGAAGTGCTCACATTTTTGAGATTCTCGTCGATCTGATGTCTCAGCAACATAAACATGTGCACTGATAGGCATATACACATTAATCACACGCATGTTGAAATGCGCAGTCAACACACTGAGTTGAAAGCAAACGAAGGCTGAAAGTTGATACAAGATTTATGAGAATCTTGTTTGTGTTCGTTTGTATTTTTAATGTGCCTTTATCTTTACACCATAAACACTGCAGTATCGGAATAGTTGCATTTTTCTGTTGATTCAGAGCCGATTGAACGTAATGCGTAAACATTAAATCGCCTGATAATGTATATCTATGTTGTAATGTAAATATGGGCAATGGTATGATATAATATAATAATAATTGCCATCTTACCTGAAATGACTCCAGATATAGCAGTATCTAACGTTGTTTGATCTGGTACAGAGTTCTTTAACCAACAACCATTACTGTCAGTACGAAATGACCAAGCCTGGCAACCATTGGTCTGAATACATGCACAATAGCATTCTTCCGCACTATCTACCAAATTTGAATTACCATCATTCATGTCACCTCCAGGCCGGTCTTTACCAACATCAATACGATGTGATGATTTTGATGTATCTGATATATAACAGGGAAATGGAAAAATGGTGAATGTTTCTGATGCAAGATCTTACGTTATTCGCAAATGACCGTGAGCATCTTGTTGAGAGTGAGAGAACCACACGACTCAACACAAACCAAAAACTAATGTTCTATTTTCTACAACCATCCCGTTTCCTACGATGGTTATATAGGTAAGGGTACAATGGACGCAATGACTGTAATGAATAGAACGGCATTGAGTGGGGAGGCAAAACAAGGGCCTTCAGTGGCAATTTTTGAATCAATTATTTTACTCATTTTCAGGTTGATTAATTAGGATCATTCATATCATCACTGGATAGCAGAAAATGTTTTATGACTGTATAGAGGAGAACAATGTGTTCATGTATGAAACCACATATTACCAGTTCCAACACCATAGAAGCCTTGCTGTTTTTCATCAGATGAAGTATCTGAGCTGGATGGAATTTCTTCACCTGTAAAGATAACCCAATATTTTATCAAAAAGAATGTTCTCAAAAATTGAATTCGTTATTAAATGTTTTTATGACTGTATTGTGTAGAACAATGTGTTACATTATTCACTTGGTGTTTAATTGTCGGCAACATTGAAGTGTTCATATATACATTTATATTTGGTACAATCTCTAACGTCGTTGTGCCTTGTGACATTACATTTAACATCATAAACACAGCCGTATTGAAACAATTGCATTTATTATCAAATTAAACGTCAAAATTTCATATTGATTAAGAGATGATGTAATGTAATGATGAATGTATGATGTAATGCAAATATGGGTAATGGTATGATATAATTGACTAATAATTGTTATCTTGTTAATAATTGCGTGTAGAACACTATTATATTAATAACTTTCGTTTAAGTGTAGGCGACATTAAAGTATTCGCGTATGAAATTACATATTACCAGTTCCAACACCATAGAAATCCTGCTGTTTTTCATCAGATGCAGTATCTGATCTAGATGGAA